TATCGGCCCAAAGCCCAACAATAATTTATTTTAATCAAAACAAATTTGATTAATTGATTATTTATTCATTAATAATTCTAGGGTATATTTTGGGGCGTTACATTTCTTCCCCCCTTAAAAAGGAATTTCGTCCTCGAAATTCTTATAAGGTCAAACCTTCAACATTTCGTAGTGATCTTACTTAATCATGACCGTGTCATGTTCATTTGGTTAAACCATAATTACGTCATTATCCATACAGATACGTTTTCTCAAATTGTCGATGTTATCAAACTTGTTCTTTTTCAAAAGATTAATAATCTTTAATTCCACCAGGCACTCAGTGATTCTTCAATATCAACAACTAATATTCTTTCGTGGTGTATAGGGTTGTATACTTGACATACTTGCACAAAACTTTGTTCATTCTCAATTTCCAATTGTACAACGTCGGTTAACGATATTCTCCTTTTGATTGAAAGTCCTTTAGTAGCATTTGTTGTTTCAAGTTCGGGATAGATGTAGTGGAGCATTTGGAGGTTGTTTAGTTCACACTTCATAGCGTAATCTTCATCAAAACATCTTCACATCGTTCACAGTTCAGCAACGACTTGTAAGTAATACCTAATGGCTTTTCGTGGTCCAAGATTTTCAGGATATGGGATTTATCATACATTGTGAGGAGGTACTACTCGTTGTACAGTAGCTCGTCATTTATCGACCTTATACCGAAGCATTTCTTCGTTTACTTCATGGTAGATCTCATTATCGTTAATGAGTCTTTGCATTAATTCGTATCCACAGGTGATAATGTTAGAGTGGCGTTTCATATACATCTCGTCGTATTCAATTTTCTTCATCGAGTTTGGAGTATATCTAGATACATTCTTGATAATGACAGGTTTGATGTAACACTATGGTTGATTTCATTTCGAGTGAAGAAGATAATATCTTCAGTACGTGATTCAATTCATGAATTCATAGAGTGAGGAATCGTTACTAGTTCTTACACCAACATCGCATATAGGTTCAGAATCTTCACTTGAATGATTCAGCCTGTTCTTGTGACATCATTTCTTCTCTGGTTGTCGCACATACATTTCCTTGCTAGGATTCTAACAATATCATTGATAATAATCCTCAGAGATAGCTTGATTGTATCGATCGTTTTGTAGTGCACAAAGAGAGGTTTAACATAATGTTTAAGTCAGGGTATTTTTACTATTGTGATCGAGTCACGCATTCCAAGGGTATAGTTTTCAAATATCGGTATCAAAAAGCATCTTGGGGATTACATTGTGAGTTAAGACAAAATTTTCATGGTTCAATATCTTGATACCAGTAATGGAATTCAATCTTTTCAAGATGGTTCAAGTGGGATGTTTCAAGAGTGTGATCAACACAATAAGTTTGAGTATTTCAAGGGTATGAATCAGAAGATACAAAGATAACGTTTGTGAATTATCGTTACTAATCGTAGGTTTTCATCCCTCAATGTTTCACTCTTTGGAAGCTACTCAAGAAGTCATTGTCTTAGGAAATAGCTGTTTTGACTTTTCTTCTCGGATTTGAACGTGTTTCAGCACAGCGAATCAAACTATTCAAGAGTCTCAATACGTCATATCTTCAACATACTATAGTATTAACGAGTACGTTCTCGTCTGCAGGTAATTTGAATCCATTTTACTGTACGTATTTTGGCTGGTGATAATTACTTTTCCATCAATGGTCATGTTCTAGAGACTATATATATCACGATTATGGGAAGAGTATCCCACATTCTCACATTATGGAAGGAACTTCTCGAACACTTCCTTACACCATAACATTCGTTGGTCTTCTTGGCATTCATTCTCTTGGTAGAAATCCAAAGTTTATGGCTACTGCAGTAGATTTAGGAAGAGAATTCATAAGGCGAAGAATTAGTCTTGCTTATGGAGGAGGAAACGTTGGCCTACAAGGAGCTGTTGCTTCAACAGTCTTTACCAATGGAGGTCTCGTTAGAGGTTTCATTCCTGGGTACATAGCAACACGACGGGTCTACGGACCTACATACGGCGTAGAGCACACAGTTTCCAGCAATTACTACAAATATTTTGAGATGAATCATGCCATGGAAGCTTTCATCATTCTTCCTGGAGGAGTTGACACTATGGAAGGTTTGTTCACCTTGATCTCGTGGGCTTCTGAAGGGTTACACAATAGACCCATTGGTCTCTTGAACATTGACAGTTATTTCAATAACCTACTCAAATTTCTAGATGATGCAGTGAGGCAGAACATCATGGCTTCCAGTCAGAGGAAACTTTTCATTTCTTCTTTCTTTGTTGGTGAGCTTTTAGACAAATTAGAGTTTGCTAAAGCTTTCCCGAGACCAGGGGTTAGTTACGATGAGTTTGTGAATCCTGGAAGACTAGACTTAGAATTGCATTTGTAACATTCCTCTTGTAATTCAAGTTGTATTTTGTGTTGCAATGATATTATCCATAAATATTCTCCTGGCTGTATAGCTAGTGCGAGCTACATTTTCTTCGTTCTTCAACCTTTCACTGTTGGCGTCACTTATTCACATCAAACGAGTCAATCGATTTGTCTAGTCAGCATCACTATGTTTCACTTAGTCAATTCAGATTACATCGACGTTTTTGACGATAAACAACTAAATCAGTAGTCGCTTCGTAGCAAGGCATCAATTCATTCAACATGTTCGAGATGTCTATAGCTTTTAACAAACAGGTTCTTTGAACAAATCATCTATACGTAGAAAAGAGTAGCGATTCTTGATCATCAGTTTGTCCATCCTTCTTAACAGGGATGTGATAGTATCTTGACCGTAAGTCAATCTTAGAGAACACAATGGATCCTCTAAGATGATCAAATAAGTCATGACACGAAGTAAAGGATAACGAATTGTTCAACTGACAGTAGTTGATATAGAGTCTCATTGATTCTTCCTTATTCACGTTTGAACAGAACAGATACTCTCCGATAGAGGAAACACTTTGTCAGATGATTCCTTCTTGGGCAATCTTCATAGTTGAGTTTTTTTTTAACGGAAACATATTCAATACAGAGTTACGAATATTGGTCCTCTCGAGGATCAAGATTGACAGAGTTTTCAATTTCTTGGAACGGTGAAATATAAAGAAGTTCATATAAGAGGGGTGACATACTTTCGGTACGTTCCTTCAGCTTAGATGTTTCTTTTTGGGTATCGCACGAATAGACTTCACACTTGAGATGTTTTCGTATATATATTCGAGATGAACTTGGTCGGTCTAGAAATCAGCTTTGCTTTTACCTCTATAAGGTTACCATCATTGGTCTTCAGTTGAGGAATTCTTCATCACAAGTTGACAACAGCAACGACGTTCAGTCAATTAATGCATACTAAGGATAATGTCGATTTTCCTTGTATGGTACTTCAACGATGTTTTACAAAGAATTGTCGCTTAACGAACGATTTCAATTCACATTAAGGAATCGCATAATGCGTCCTAATGAGTCAAACAATAGTATCAGATACTTTAGATAACAGAGTTTATTGATTCTAAACGTTCGTGTTTGAATCAACGAACAGATCATCTTGAGTCCACATGAGGATCTTTGACATCGGCTTCACAGATGTTGTTCAACATTATTCGTTTGTTCAGAGTCATCTCACTTCTATGCGACTTTACGAGGCAGATCAGTTTCATAATTCGCGATGCGATGCGTACGTTGATAACGTATCAGAGGTTTATACATTTTTTTATTCTTTCGTTTCTTCACTTAGTACGAAAGTTCAACTTAAGTCCTTGTTCGATATAATTTCATTACCAACAATTATTATCTAATGAGAATTTAACATAGTCAATATTTACCAAATAAATTCTCATACCTTTCCTGGAGTAGAGGGCTGGGAGAGTCGTGGATGTGATTTACATTTTTTTTAGTATCAAATTTTTTTATCCGAAGATCGGTTTTCAAACCATTTGCTCCGATACCAAACTGTAACACCCTAATCCGTCCAGGTCTGCAGCCCCTTTCGGACTAAAGTATTTAACTTGGTAATCGTAAAATTTAAAACTTTTCAAACACACTTTATTAATCTTAATAATATGTTTCATAACATATACAGCACGGAGTATTTAACAATATTGCGGAAGCGAATTTAATATTGACATATCATAAGTCATTTCAAAACTTATCACATCCATCCCGACAATCTCGCCCCATCTGCCGCCAGGATCACATTAGTCTTTCTGTTTACATGCGTGTAGCAAATAAAACATACTACACGCTCAGCGGTGAAGCTGAGTAAGCATATCTAAAACGTCGAACATCCACATAAATTGAATCTCAATTCATAATCAACCATTTGATATCATGCACACAATATATGGTTCAAACATTCAAAATATTTTCAATATTTTATTCTAAGTCATTTTATATTCAATATATATATCAATAATGCTCTTAAATTATTCTTAATCTAAGGCCACATCATTTTATATTCAGCTCTTAGCTATTCCTAGTCTAAGGCAGTAATTCTAACCAGGCCCTTAAACTATAAATAGTTTAATGCAGAACACAAGAATCGATAATCCACCCTATGAGTCATGTAGATTACGTACCAACCGAACAGTGAACTGTCGGGTGGGTGATATCCGTTCTGGATCCCGTATGTACATTTTAACCCCGAAATATGAATTGGTCAAGGAGGTATATCTTAGAGTTCTTCTAGATATCCTTAATAATCATCATCATAATACAAGTGGGTATATCTTAGAGTTCTTCTAGATATCCTTAATAATCATCATCATTATACAAGTGGGTATATCTTAGAGTTCTTCTAGATATCCTTAATAATATACATCAATTTCATAATCATCATTATATCCATTTTTAATCATGATTTAATCATACCAATCAGTAGGTTAATCATTCATAATTGGCCACAATAATAGTTCATCATAATGATCATTCAACATAACATTTAATAACAATTAGCGGCCTAGTCTCGAGTGTTAACACCCGAACTTACCGTCATGCATCACATAATGTTTTAATTTGTTAAAAACATCATTTTTGTTATGAAAAATCATTTTTATAATAATCATAATCAATTGGTATCAAAAATAGGATTTTAAAGCTCAAAAATGGCAATTTCAGACAAAATTTCGGACCAGAGTTTCGGAAGATCGATCCAGTCCTCTGGATCGATCCAACTAGAAGAAAAACTCCCAGAGGATTGATCCACTCTGTGGATTTTAAGTCACTGTTCATTTGTCTTCAACCTCGGTCCATTTTTCGGGAAAACCATTTTTAGTCACCGAACTTCAATTAAACTATATAGAGATGTTCTCCAAGGTTCATAGATCATATTAGAATTATTGAAACATATTTTTAACATCAAATTCAAGGTTTATGATTCTTGGTTCTTCAAACATGTCAAACACAAAACTCAACTAAATGACCATTTATGAACGTAGAAACGACCTATATGAACATTCTAGTCATTAGATATATTTATGGGCTTACCTCGAAGCTTATCGAAGGTTTTGAGAATTTTCCGGCGAAACTTCCGGCAATGATTACTCTCAACTCCGGCGACCTTACACCAATACGACAGCACCACCACGTTCTCCTCACTCCCAGCAACAGAATAGAATGAAACTTTGTAAGAAATGGTGAAGAATGGAGGGAGTTGTGGTAGTCTTTTATAGGAGAAGGAAGAGGAAGAAGATGAAATTCACCGCGTCACCTTCCCTGTTAGAGCGGCTAGTGGAGTGGGCTGCGATATCCATGATTCCAAACGCAAGTCCCTGATTGGGACTAATTTGGTCCCAGTCGGGGAACACTTTTTGGTCTAACTTTCTCCAAATTGAAATCCGTTTGCACCGTTGTGATCGTACATTTAAACTCTATCCAACGATATAATTTTTATATTTATTTGTAATACTTTTTCCGACACCACATTTTTGGGTGTTTGACCTTAACAGAGTCAAAATTGGTTTAATTGACCTTTCTCATAAAAGGTTCTCTCATTTAATTCATATCAATTATTCTCATGATTTATTTCAACAAATCATTTCAATATTTACATTCTAAACAAATTCTTTATTTACTCTTGTTTTGGGCCTGTACTCAGGTTCCCAATCAAGACCACACAAATAGTCCACATATTGGATTTATCTCTATGAGACTTATCCAGATTTTGATATTAGATGTCAAAACAAATTTCGTATCGGCCCAAAGCCCAACAATAATTTATTTTAATCAAAACAAATTTGATTAATTTATTATTTATTCATTAATAATAATCTAGGGTATATTTTGGGGCGTTACAAAAAAACTCAATCATCATGCAGCCAAAAGGATTCTTAGATACCTTAAAGGAACTCAAAACATGGGTTTATGGTATGCTAAGAGCAGCTCATTTGAGTTAGTAGGTTACTCAGACTCAAACATTGCCGGATGCAAAGTTGACCGGAAGATTACTTCTGGGACTTGTCAATTCATTGGCGGAAATCTTGTTTCTTGCTTCTGTAAGAAACAAAATTCCATCTCTACATCAACAGTAGAAGCAGAGTACATTGCTGCTAGTAGTTGTTGTGCCCAGATCTTATGGTTAAAGCAACAACTACTAGACTATGGAGTCAAAACGAAGGAGGTGACAATATTTTGTGACAATCAAAGTGCTATAGCTATTTCACAAAATCCAGTGCATCATTCTCGTACTAAGCACATTGATGTCAAGCACCACTTCATCAGAGATCATGTTCAGAAGAAGGACATCAAAATTGAATACATCTCAACTGAGGTGCAATTAGAGGATATCTTCAAAAAACCACTAAGTGAAGCCAGGTTTTCCGAATTACTTCACAAAATTGGTCTAATTCTATAAGACTGAGTGGAGTACACATGGCAGCACACGTACCCCATCTGATAAAGCAACGTGTGGGCACGTGGCTTTGCAAACAGTGAAAAACCCAATTGCCACCAGTCGTATAAATCGCCCAAATTAAACCCTATCGCCACTATCTCAAATCTCAACTACCCACTCTACAACTCAAAGAAACCTCTTTGTCGTCTTCTTCGTGAGAAATCACAGAAGAACCCTAATTTTTTTTGAAAGTTTTCTCAAAAAATCAGAAAAATGAAGATTGAAGGCGCTAATGTTCATTTTAAGAAATTGGAAGCAAAATGCTCTTCACTGGCATTTTACGAAGCCTACCTCGAGATGATTAAGGCACAGGGGCTCTCGAAGTTCCTCCATCTAGAATTTCATACTAAGTATGAAGAGGAAGTTTTGGAATTCTACAAAAAATGGACAAATCCTCTTCAAAGTCTGTTCAGATTATCAAATCAACTGTTGGAGATAAAGAAGTGAAGATTTCGCAGAAAAAGTTGAGAACAAAGCTTCATCTTCCCAAATCTGGGAGTGATGTTGGGAAGCTTTCACCCAAGGCTCTGAATTGGAGCGAAATTGGGATTTCTGGAAAAGTCCCCTCTAGTCCAGCAAAGAAAGATGAAGAATGACTACAAGCTAATTTTGGTGCTAGTCATTGGATGTTTGGAATGTGGAAGTGGAGGACATGCCAATGACATCACTCAAGAGAGAGCTTTCATCATCAATGCTCTCATCACCAAAACCAAGGTAAATTGAGCTAAACATTTCTTCAACTCCATTTCTAAGCACATAGGCAAACCTAGGCAGAAATTTCTCTGTCAAGGACTGTACATTGGGCATGTGTTAGAATCCATGGATGTTGCCTCTGATGGCAAGAAATATGAAGAAAGATACTGGCTATATTACCTTTCAAGCAAGGGAGAAAACAGAGCCAGCCCTGTTGCTGAAGAAGAAGGATCTTCAAATGAAGTCCTAGATGTTGCTTTGAAGAAGGCTTCAAAAAGGAAGCAAGTGGTATCTTCTTCTCCCAGTGCTGAAGAACCAAAAAAACCTTGAGTTGGTAAACCTTGATGAGGAAGAGGTCTCTGCTCAAGGACAACTCCAAAAGAATAAGAAAAGAAGAATCTCCACTCCCTTCACATCCGGAAATGTCAATCCGGAGAACTCACTAGAGAACCATCCCCAAGAAATTTCTCAATCAAATGATGAAGAGACTCATCAAGATCAAAGTCTTTCAACTCCTTCATCCCAAAATCTCTCTGATGAAAGATTAGATATATTCATCCAAATGTACACTGATTGGAGAGAATGGAAGGTTGGAAATTCTGAAGACCAGTTACTTGACTGGGAGCAACATCTTGCACATGAGAAAACACTCAAAAGATGTCTTGGCCTAGTTATTGATTGCTCCTGTGAGCAGATGTTGGATGAAGAATGGGTCTAGAAGAAGTCAAATGAAGACATGTTGTTGGAATTCCTGTCAATCTCTCCTCCTCTAGAATTTGAAATTGATGATGAGGATATAACAGTCTTCAAGGCCATCTTTTCAAATCCAGCTGGAAACCCAATTGATAATATAGATGAAGACGTGATTGCTGCAGCAGAGGATTTCCAAACTTTTCTGGAAAACTCCTCTGCACTAGAGACTACTTATGTTGAAACTCTTCAAGAAAACTCTGCCATCCCCCAAATTGAAGAACAGATCCAAACAACAGCAGAAGAAGAAGAAATCATTCACTCTCTCACCCTTCAAGTTCAAGAGATCCTCACAACTACTTGTGAGATCTCCACTCATGAAGCTAAACTTGAAAATCAGAAATGTGCTGGAGAAAATCAACATCTGGAGGACAAGTCAGAAGAACATGTGGAAGAATTCTCAAGGTCCCCTCCTCAGAAATTGAAGATGAAGAAACTCAAAGGGAACATGAAGTAGAGGTTCAAAGAAGTCAAGAAGAAACACGTGAAGAAGCTCAGGTAGCTAACTTGGAGTTTGCTGAAACTCCAGTAACTATCTTTGAGCAGCAGAATGATGAAGTAGTGAGAGATCCAATTTCCTAGGAAATCTCAAACTACAAGGATGGAGAAGCTGAAGGAGAGTCTATAAAGACTCTAAAGATCAATGAAGAAGATGCTGAAGAAGGAGAGGAAGCTGAATCTCTCCCCTTGCAATGCTTCCACAGCCTCCCTCCAACAAACCAGGTCACAAACTTAAACTTCCATAGCTCCTCCTCCTCACTTACTCTTCTGGATGAGATGCCGGAACTTTGGGCCAAAAAGGTCCAAGGGCTGATTAACTCAGCCCTGGAGTCTCAAAGGGCCTCATTCCAGGAAGTAGTAAATAAGATGGAAGAAAGGCAGAATTAGATCATGAAAAGAACTCAAGAGAAATACATCTTAAATCTCAAGGAGATAGGCAATACTGTCAATAAGACTATTGAGATCATATCTCTTATGAGTAATTCATTGAGCACAACCATGATAGAATATGCTTCTGACTCCCACCTCCAACTCAAGGAGGTGGTGAAGATCAAACAACAGCTTGCTGCTTTTACCAATTCTGAAGCAAATGGCCCTTCTGCAATTGGACATCATATCAGTCCTGGCAATCTCATGAGCAAACCAGGTAGTTACTCAAGACTATTTGAAGGTCCTTGCGAAAAACAAGAAGGAAGTCTTCCGGTTACTTAAATGTATGGCAGCTTTCACTGCCAAACATAAATTGGATGTGGTTGTCCAATACAAAAATCTTCTAGAAATTCCCAAGCTCCCAATCAAAGCTACTCAAGGAGAAATAGGCTACATCGTAACCCATATAAAGCTGACTGATCTTCTCCTGGATGCCCAGTAGAGCAATCCGGAGCTCTCAGTACAACACTTGTCAAACAAGCAATTTGATGGAATTGAAGTCTTAGGGACGATAGCCTCCCACTTCACCAATGAGGAACAACACAAAGAACACAAGAAGAATCTGAAGCGCATAAGAACTGAGTGTGGCATTCTTCAAGGCTTGGGTGAATCTGTCGAATCCTCAAGACGCAAAAAGACCTGAAGGTTTTTATCATCAAAACAAGGGGAAGTTAGACTCACGTGTTTTTGTTTTGATGAAAACACCTTCTTGTTTAAACACTTTCCTTGTTTAAACACTCTTTTGTTTAAATCTCTCAATATTATGCTTGAACATGTTTCCTTTAAGTATAAGTTTTGAGATTTACTATGCATGCATACATTGTGGGGGAATATAACTCAGGGGGAATTTAATTGTTTTTGGCTAATTTGTTTTTGGTAATGGACTACTAATGAAACACTCTAAGTATGGAAGTCGGATACCTCATTTCTGTACTAGAGTTGGAGATCTCCGATTCAGGTACTCTAATATATTTGCCTTCTTAAATTGAGTTTCAATCCTTAGTTCATTTCCTCTCTTTCCCTAAGAATTAGTCCTTAGGATTTTTAAATATACAAGACTTTGGAAAATTAGTACCACTTTTCTTTTGAAAATTAATTTTATCTTTTTGATACTACCTCGTCCTAATTAGAACTTAAAACTTTAGGGAATGAGAATCATAGATTTTATTTTGGGCCTTGAGAACCCAATAGGAATAATTTCCCTTAAGTGCATAGATTGTTTTTTGGACCACTTTTATGGGCTTAGCCAAAACAAAACAGTTACTTTCTCAAACCCAACGTATTTGGTTCATTTGGAAACAGTTTTGGTTCATTGGTAATTGATAAAGAATCTTTCAACGCTTCAAAATTCAACTTATCTTATAAGTTGAAATTCATTTACTTTTACCATTCCAACCACCCACTTAATGGAACCCGTGAACCACCCCTCTTCTTTTCCTCCACCTATATAAACCAAGCCTATTCTTATCCATAAGCTCTTCAATGGAGAAGTTCTTCCTCACCCTCATAGACAGCATTGGAGAAAGCCTGATGAAAAGAAAAGATACTTAAGGTCTATGGTGAGAATCTCGGTAGTAGAGAAGGGCTATGGTGAGAATCTCGCATTTTTGCATCTCGCCATACACCTTCTATGGATCAACACTCTTCCCTTTTCTCTTTTTTGCTCTTATTTCTTTCAAAATTTTTCATTTCATTTTTCTCTTGTCCTACTTTTTCAAAGTCTTCTATTCTATTTTCTTTTTCAATTTTTTTTGATTTTAGGTCTCCACATCTCTTCTCTCTTTTTTCTTTTCATAGACTTCTTAGCAAACGTCTTCTTTCTCCTCCCTTCTTCCACCACCATTTCTCTTTTTCAAATTTCTTTTATTTTTTCCTTCATCTTTGAAAATCCCTTCTCTTTTATGTCCTTTCTCAATCTCTTTCTGTTTCTTAAACTTTTCTGCTTCTTCTAGTCTTTTTCTTTCCTTTCACCGCTCATTCTCTTTGCTTTCCAAACACTTTTTTTTCTTTCTGGGAGAGACGTTGATCCTTAGGTCTCAATGTCCTCTTTGGATGTTGAGATCCATCAAACAAAATGCCATCAACGTTTTCAAGCGAAAACAGCTGAAGACGAAAGCAGCAAATGGCAAAAATATCACAAATCTCAAGACAAGACTTGGTTTAGGAACTATTGTAATTTGGATTGTATTTTGTTTAAGAGTTTTTGTTAACAAGCTGTATATTATGAGAAACTAAAAGAATGTTATAAAATTAGTTCTCAGTACAGCGACCGGAACTCTTAAACACTTGTTTCTCATCATAAAAAACGGGGAAATTGTTGGGAAAAATTATAGATTTTGATGATGATGTATTTAGATTGGGATAGGGACTTTAGGTCTCCCCCATTATTCAATGTAATTTTCTTTTTATAAATATTGTTAAAACTGAGTTCTGGAGATTTCAAATAAAACTTGTGATATATCATTTTGAGTTTGAACTTTAAAGACTTAGCAAATTTAGTGATATGGAAATTGGAACTCTCGCTCGGAAATAAGAGAGACAAGAAAGCAATTCTAAAAGTAGTTGTTTACTTTGGAATTCTCAAAACTGGGATGCTCAATGATACCCGGAAGTCTCGCTACAATATGCAGAATGCTTAGTCATCCGGATTGAAAGACTGGCGCGGATCAATTTCTCACCTGGAAGTCTAAGAATGACTTATCCGGAACTATCAAGTTAATAGCCAGATGTCTCAAGGTAGATCGAAACTCTTAGAAGCGGACAAGTGAGAAAAGACTTAGAAATTTATCTAAGTTATGAATGAAGAAATTCTACCCGTTAGTAAGGAAACATAAATTTCTTGATTTTCAACGGCTAGATTGAGGATAATTAAGCTGATTCAAGAACAAATTACATGAAGACAAAGTCTAGACTCCTCAAATTGAAGACCTCGGCCAGAATTCTTGAACAAACACAAGAAGACAAAATGGGTACCCCACTCAATACAAAGCTACAGTCAAGGATTCTTGAACAATAGCTAGAGGACGAATTTTGTGGAAAAGGAATCCCTCTTCAAACAATTGGGTATGTCCAAACACCCATTCCAAAAGAGAATCCTCAAACTCCCTCTTCGTTCAAATTGAAGCCATCAAATGCAATGGATAGTCTATTCACTTGAACAGATAGATTATCCATCCAGCTTATATATAGCTCCCATGGAAGACAGGAAAAAAAGAGTACACAACGAACAACTAACAAAGCTATTTTATTCACAGTTAGCCAAAAAGCTTGATAAAGAGAGATTTCTAAACTCCTTATCCAGAAGCAAACTTCTCCTTCTTCCAAAGAGCTATAAGTGTAAACACTTGATGGTTTCCTTGCCTCGGGTACCACACCACGTTGAAGGATACAACTTTTAATCAAACATCTTGATTAAAACGGGGCACATCAACTTTCCTACAACTTGATCTTGCAAGTCCTATTATTCGGATCTTGCAGTTGTTGAAGAACCATTACCTTCGAAGGAACAACAAAGCCACCACGAGTGCAGTAGCAATATTGGCCTTGCGAAGATATACCGTGCAAAAATTCACAAAGTGTAATTGTTGGTTCATTATTCAACAACCAACTACATAGTGGATTTTGAGGACATAGAAGGATTACCCCACCTTTGAACCTCATTAAAGTTTGTGTGTCTCTCCCTCTTATCTTTACTTATATTTGCATTTATATTAACTGTGAAAACTAACCCATCCATATTGATTACTGCTCCAATAACCCACCAACTTCCGCACACAATCTAAGTTCACAAGAACTTTAGATTAACACTCATTTCACGTTTTCAAAAGAAACGAAAAAGTTTTAAATTTATAACAAAGTCTATTCACCCCCTCCTCTAGACATTGTATCTCACCACTTAGGGTACCACCACTTATATGTCGATGACATATTGTTAATGGGTAACGATATTCCCGCTCTCACTTCTGTAAAGACGTGGTTGAGCGAGAACTTCTCCATGAAAGACTAAGGAGATGCTAGTTGTGTCCTTGGCATAAGAATCTACCGAGATAGATCAAGAAAATTAATAGGTCTGAATCAAAGTACATATATATATAAAATCCTTAATCCATTTAGCATGTCTAACTCAAAGAAAGGATCTTTACCTTTGACACCTACCACAGTTCATTCTATGAACTAGAGTCCCTCTACTCCCAAGTAGAAGGAACTCATGATGAAGGTTTCATACGCCTCTGCGATTCGATCCATCATGTACGCCATGATATGTACTAGACCTGATGTCTCATTTGCTTTAAGCGTGACCAACAGATACCGGGGAAATCCAGGAGAAGCACACTGGACAACGGTCAAGAACATCCTCAAGTATCTTCGCAATACTAAGGATGCATTCCGGGTATACGGTGGTGAGGAAGTGTAACGCCCCAAAACATACCCTAGAATTATTAATGAATAAATAATCAATTAATCAAATTTGTTTTGATTAAAATAAATTATTGTTGGGCTTTAGGCCGATACGAAATTTGTTTTGACATCTAATATCAAAATCTGGAAAAGTCTCATAGAGATAAATCCAATATGTGGACTATTTGTGAGGTCTTGATTGGGAACCTGACTATAGACCCAAATCAAGAGTAATTAAAAAATTTGTTTAGAATGTGAATATTGAAATGATTTGTTGAAATAAATCATTAGAACAAATGATATGAATTAAATGTGAGAAACCTTTTTGAATAAAGATCAACTAAATCAATTTTTACTCTGTCAAAGTCAAACACCCAAAAATATGATGTCAGAAAAAGTATAACCAACAAATATAAAAATTATATCGTTGGATAGAGTTTAACTGTCCAATCGCAACGGTGCAAACGGAATTCAATTCGAAGAAAGTTAGACCAAAAAGTGTACCCCGACTGGAACCAAATTTGTCCCAATCAGGAAGTGGCGTGTAAAATCCCACAAATCCGCCGTCCTGCGCACTAAATCAATCACCAACGAAGAAATGGAATCCTGAGTCACACCCATGTCTTCTTCTTCACCTCTTCTCCAATAAAAGGAACCCAATCTCATCCATTTCTTCATCAAATTCCTTCAAATAAACTCTGAGAAGAAGCTGTGAGTGTAGAGAACAAAGTGGTGCTCTCAATTTGGGGTGAAGTCGCCGGAGCTAAACCTCGCCGGAAGTTTCGCCGGAAAATTCTCAAAACCTTCAATAAGCTTCGAGGTAAGCCCGTAGATATATCTAGTGACTAGAATGTTCATATAGATCGTTTCTACGTTCATAAACGGTCGTTTGGTTGAGTTTTGTGTTTGACATGCTTCAAGAACCAAGAATCATAAACCATGAAATTGATGTTAAAACTATGAATTAATGATTCCAAAATGATCCATGAACTTGGACAACATCTCTATATAGTTTCGTTGAAGTTCGGTAACTAAAAACGATATTTTCGAAATTGGACCCGAACGAAGAAGAAGATGAACAGTAACCAAAACCAGACTGTCTGGATCGATCAAATGGCCTGGATCGATCCTCTGGGACTATTTTATCAACATATGGATCGATCCAGAGGGCTAGATCGATCCCCCGAAGTTCTGATCCGAAAATTTGTCTGAAATTGCTATTTTTGAGCTCTAAAATCCTATTTTTGATACCAATGGATTATGACCATTATAAAAATGATTTACCATAATAAAAATGATGTTTTTAACAACTAAAAATGTTATGTGTTGCATGACGGTAAGTTCGGGTGTTAACACTCGAAACTAGGCCGGTATTTATTATCAATTGTTGTGTTAATTGATGATTATGATAAATGAATATTATGGATGATTATGAGTATTGAACCTACTGATTAAAATAAGTATTTATGATTGAATCATGAATAAAATGAATACATTTATAATTATGAAATGATTTGTAGTGTTAAGGCTATCTAGAAGACCTCTAGAATAGATCTCATATTAGTATGGATTTGTTAAACATGAATATTCGATGAATTAGATAAAAATGTATAAACGGGATTCGTAGACCAAGCTAGAGGATTACTCGTTTGGAAATGCCCGATCCAATGTTGATCAATCGCTATATTGTTGTTGCCTCAACTGACTACAGTTAAGTGTCCGAAATCATTTGCCTTAAACTAATGATAGTTTAAGTGTCTGATTGCCTTAACTGACTACAGTTAAGTGTCCGAAATCAATTGCCTTAAACTTATGATAGTTTAAGTGTCTGATCAATAATTGCCTTAAAAGAATCTGGTTATGGAAGTTATGATTTGGCCTTAGACTAAGAATAGCTAAGAGCATTATTATGATTTGGCCTTAGACTAAGAATAGCTAAGAGCATTATTATGATCTGGCCTTAGACTAAGAATAGCTAAGAGCGTTGTTATGATCTGGCCTTAGATTAAGAATAATTTAAGAGCACTATTGAAATAGTATCTGAATTGAATAAAATGTGTTGATATGAACTGAATAATATCAAAACTGTGAATGTCTGAAACGAAAATTGTGTGCATGATATCAAAAGATTTGATTATGAATTTAGATTCAGTTTATATGGATGTTCGACGCATTAGATATGCTTACTCAGCTTTACCGCTGAGCATGTAGTGTGTTTTATTTGCTACACGCAGGTAAACAGAAAGATTAATGTGATCCTAGCGGAAGATGGGGCGAGATTGTCGGGATGGATGTGACAAGTTTGAAATGATTTATGATATGTAAAAATTAAATTCGCTTCCGCAATATTGTTGAATACTCCGTACAGTGTATGTTATGAAAAATATTATTGGTATTAATAAAGTGTGTTTGAAAAGTCTTAAATTTTTACGATTGCCAAGTTAAATACTTTCGTCCGAAAGGGGCTGCAGACCTGGACGGATTAGGGTGTTACAGGAAGAGCTAAAGGTGGTCGGTTACACTGATGCTAGCTTCCAAACCGACAAAGACGACTCAAAATCACAAGCAGGATATTTGTTTTGACTAAATGGAGGAGCTTTTAGCTAGAAGAGCTTCAAGAAAGACACAACTGCCAATTCGACTACAGAGGCTGAGTACATAGCTGCTGCCGAGGCAGCTAAAGAAGCTGTTTGGATCAAGAAGTTCGGTACTGAACATGGAGTGGTTCCTAGTATTAATGACCCTATCTCGTTGTTTTGCGACAACACTAGGGCCATTGCATAGGCAAAGGAACCACGATCTCACCAGAAAACCAAACATATTGTACGACGCTATTACATCATACGAGAAATCATAGACATAGATGTGATGATTTCCAAAGTAGATACTGACGACAACATAGCCGATCCCTTGACCAAGCCTTTAGGAAAGCTAAAGCATGAGGGTCACACTAGGTCTATGGGCATTCGACCGATGCGAGATTGGCCATAGTGCAAGTGGGATATTGTTGGAGTTGTGCCCTGATTGCCAACTGTTCATCGTTATTCTATCATTGCATTGCCAACTGTTCATCGTTATTCTATCCTAGTATTCATCATAGATATAATATATTTACACATCTCACGCTAAAGTAAACAAATATTATATTCCTAGATTTATATTTAAAATATGTTTATCAGATAGTGTTTTTCTGCTGATGAGACTAATATCTTGAAATAAATATTTATCTAAATGTCCATAGTCGAGTATTAATGAGAGTGGGATATCGTTAATGCATGTGAGACTAGTGTGTGTTGGATGTTTGACTTAGTCTCATAGTCAATGACAGTGTGTTCGCATCCGCACATAGGCAGATATTATCTGGAGATAATAGGATGCCGGACTGACCCATCCTAAAGATATTGCTTAAACTTTTAGTTCATGCTCTAAGTATCTTTAGCGCGACCACGGGTGTAACTATCCTTCGACTTGAAGTATTACGTTTTTGCATATGTGAACTCGCATGCTTTGATGCATTGCCCTAAGCCATATGAAATAAGGATGGTATACACGCTTTGTTTTGGGTATGCCGCAGCGCGTATTCAGAAACGTCGATTACGTACATAGGATTTGTCACTACTCTTTTTAAGAGATTAATGTTTTATGGGCCCACTGATAAGTTATGATTGAGGAAATTGCATGGCCATGCTGAGATGTTTTTATGACGTCTGTTCCTATCTGTCAGAATTAATAAATACGTGAATGACTTAATGGATACAAGATGGATTTTATTAATCCCTTGCATTAAGTCTAGACATTGAGACAAAGGGATACAGTTACACGTAGTCTGAGTCGTGGAAAGGTTTTGACGGTGCGAACATCTTAACTTATAATCTGGGGACAATAATGTGTTGCTAGATACCGCTTATTGTTTATAGTATTGGTGCAGAGCCAATATTATGGCCAGCTTTATAAGTGCCTATACGGGTCACACACTTTAGACAATTTAAGGAGTAGGATTAAAGAATGGGATAATAAGTAATTTGTATATTTGCAAAATAGTAAAATAAAATATTTTGGAATATAATATTATATATATATAATTCGGTTATATATATATTTATATATATATTTGTACCGATTAATATATATATATATATATATATATATATATATATATATATATATATAATCAAATAAATTTTATTAAAGAAAATAAAAGAAATAGTTACAAAGGTGGGCGTGGCCAAAAGAAACCCCTACATTACAGCCAAAATTAAAAAAAAGGAGAAAATGAGAAAAAAGCCAGCAACTACTGCCAAAGGCAGATGCATTATATACTACTCCGTACTACGAAGCTACAAGAATAAAAGTCCAAAAGATGAAAAAACAGTAGTAATCTGTTGGTTCTACAAAGCATTGATGTTGATACCACCAAAGTCCCCTTATCTAACAAACTGCGCTGGGTGTGAAGACAAGAGAGAAAATCAAACTTCCATCTCATAGTATATTGCATGTCAGTTCTGTAGAGGCATTGATCTCCAAGAGAACCTGTAATGAAATTTGAGACAAAACTTCGACTTAAAGGCCGTCGTACGTCGGTGGAAGCCTGAGGAGATAGCGGTCCGCCGTATGGCTCGTCAGGAACCGACGAGAGAGATTTGCTGATTCCTTGGAGCAAGATGGTTGACCATTCCGTCAGCTCTTCTAGCAGCTGCTTTGCGATATGACGATTACTGGGAGCTAAATGAGTAGTTAGCACGGGCTAATCTGTACTAGGGCACGTTGCATCTGTGATGGTTGAACTTATAAGAATACTACGATCTGATCAAGAGTCCTTCTGAATCGTAAGAATGAGGCAATAGTCTGTTCTTTGCTACTAGAATGAGCAATGTGCATCTTCTAAAAAGAGATGTACGAACGGTAAATCCCAAATCATAACCAAACCATATCCCAAATCATAACCAAACCATTCTGTGGATATACTGCCTTCAATTCTGCTAAAACATTCAAAAATGACAAACCCCAAATGGTATCTTCTCCACTTCATCCGAAAGTGTCTCAACCTCAAAACCTCATAGCCAACGTATGTAGTTGCTAAAAGTCCAGTAACAGCAGCCCCATGTTCATTGACCCGTCTTTATTAAAGGAAACTACTACATCAGGCTAAACAAATATAAAGCAAGCAGTCCAACTGAAACACTCAAATGTTGAAACTAAAATCTGCTAGAGACACAATCATTCAACAGGAATAGTCTAATTCATAAAAGTCCTCATCCTCATTTCCCATATCACTTACCTAGCTCTGTTTCTTTTTCTTCTTCAATTTCTTTTTCTGACTTTTGCTCAATGGCTTTTTGGAAGCTTTAGGCTCTTCCTTTTTACTAGGACAACAGAGTTTGAAGAATTCAATCACCTCCTCTTCATGGGATTCCTGTGGATCAAGCATTTCTTGTTCCTCTTCCCAGCCAATAGGTGTGATCCTCCTCCCTTCTTCTAGTATTTTAGCCTTACTTCTTGTAACAATTTGCGATGGGGAGAAGGTCTTTCTACCCTTGAGTTCCTTGCGCAAGTTAAAGGGCTGCTTGAAGCATCTTGAAAGGTCTATTTTCAAGGGTTTAAGCTTAGAATCTATGAACACTAAATCCTCCCCCTCTGAATGGGTGTAAAGTATTGGCCCATCCCTCTCCTTTGCATGATCTTCCACTGCATTAGAGCATAGAACCAGGTTCTGATCATTAATCTTTGAAAAAGGATCTTCTTCCTCCAAGGACCCAGGATCTTGATTCAGAAGAGCAGCAAATGTGTTGTTTGAAAGTGGTAAAAATGCAGGGGCATATGGAGATAACATCCTTCTTGGAAGTGGTGGAAACAATTCAGTGTATGAGTCAGAACATTCAGGTTCTCCTTTTCCCTCATAAGTAATCATCTGCCTCTCTGCAAGGGTGGTTTCTGTCAAAGGAGCAGTAGTGAAACCTTCTGACCCTCCTTTGTCTGTAATATTATCCTTTGTGCTTGAATGGTTTGTTTTGTCATTGTTCTGGGTTTCGTCATACACCTTCGTTTCAGAATTTTGAGTATGCTGAGTTGGTGTGCCAAGTTCAAGGAGAGGAGTTGGGGAGATAGGCTGATGTTCCAGGGGTTCTGTGGGCGTAGCTAACAAGAATTTGTCATCCACTATTGGTACACTAGCTGCTGAATTAGCTTTTGAAATGGAAGCTCTAGGGAGGAATGAAGAGAGTGCCCTGATAAATAATTTTGGCCCATCCTTGTGTGAATCAAAAGGAATGATTAAAAATCTCCTTCCCTCTCTTCTTCTCTCTAAGATTTTGACATAATTTCCTCTTTTATTAGAACCCAGGCTAAGCTCAATACTTCTATTTGTGTCTTTTGATACAATTTGATAATAATTTGTCTTATTGAATATTGAAAGATATGTTCCTATATATAGGGATTACAAGAGAGAGAGTCATATTCCTAGTAGGAAAGAAATAAAGTAATTATGGTAATACAAGAATAAGGAAACTAAATAATATTAGGAGTCTTCCTATTATCCCCCGCAAGCTGATCAACGGATACGAGGGGCAGCTTGGAACACAAATAATGGAACGGAGTCGGCGGAAGCGGTTTTGTCAAGATGTCAGCAAGCTGCTCAGAAGAAGGAACATGATGTGTAGTCATAGTGCCAGCCATAACCTCGTCTCGAACAAAGTGACAGTCAGAGCCAACATGCTTCATGCGATCATGGAGAACGGGATTCTTGGTGACACAGATTGTGGACTCATTATCACAATAAATCTTAGGTTTCGTAGGCGGAACATGCAGAGAATCCATAATATAACGAAGCCACATCGTCTCTGCCACCCCCGCGGCCATAGCGCGATACTCAGCTTCGGTGGAGGAGCGCGAGACGCGAGTCTG